ACTTCGGGGCCTTTGGCTCCCCCGGCTCCGCTTCCACACCCTTAGCACCCCCAGACCCGTTTCGAAGCCTTTCTCCCCCCTCCCCAGCCCCATTTTGATGCCCTTCTCAGCCCCATAGCTCCACTTCGGTGCCCTTGGCACCCCCAGCCCCGTTCCTGAGCCCCTTCCCCCCCAAGCCCCGCGGTGCTGCCCTGGGTCGGCGCTTTGCGGGAGGCACACGCGGCTCCTTGCCGGAGTCTCGTGGGTTCTGCTCCCTCCCAGATGCTTTTTATAGCCTCCACTCTCTTCCCCGGCGTCTCGTGGTTTTTTTTGGTGTTGTTGGTTTTTTTAAATTTTCTCTTTCTTTTTTTTTTCCCTCCGCTTTTTTTTTTTTTTTTTTTTTTATGTAACTAGTCCTTCCTGGAGCCCTTCTGGCATGAGATGGTGGGACTGGTGCTGCAGCTGTTTTCAGAGAGGCCAAGGACATCGTGTCCTTCTTTTGTTAAACCCTAAAGAGGCCCAGGTCATCGTTTCTTTTCTTCATTAAACCCAAAACCTGCCCATTTTGGGAGTGCAGGGGGTTAGACCTCTATATCCCTCCCTGCTGAAGGCCCCTTTGCTGGTGCCACGTGCTTGGCCTTTCCCATCCCACTGCTCCCCAAACCTTTTTTTCTGCTTTTTTTTTCAAAAGGTAGGGAAGCTCCCATACCATTATTAGATGAATTTTTACCATAATCTGCATCCAAACACCATGTAATGCAAGCTCCTGTGCTTCAAGAGGTGACATCCCTTATAGGGGGACTTGGGGACTTCCCATCCTGCAGCTTCCTCAGCTCCTCTCTGACTTTAACCTCTATGAGGTTGGCCTGGACTGAGGAAATTTGTAAATTGAAGTGGGATGTGAAATAATCTGTGTTTAAGAGGGAGGTGGAGGTGGCACCAGAGTTTTTTTCTCATTGCTTTTTGCCTCTCAGAGATGTTGTTTGTGCTGTTGGTCCCAGGAGCAGCATTTGGCTTTGCATCCTACTACGGTGACCACATGGTGCTGCAGAAGGAGCCGGCAGGGGCTGTGGTGTGGGGCTATGGGGAGCCAGGGGCCATGGTGACAGTGGTTCTGTCTGAGGACAGTGGCTTCATTATCTCCAAGAAGACAGTGCACATTAAAGGTCAGTCGTGGACCCTCACCAGGCAACTGGGGCGGGCGGGTTTGGTGGCCAGGGAGCCTATTCTGAGCCTGGATTTGTCCTCCCACTTCCCTGGGTTGATGATGGAGGTGACACTGAGGGTGACGTCTCCAGCTCATGCACCCCTGGGGTCATGCTCTCCCCTTCTCAGGGGGGTTCAGGTGTTCCTTGCCCCGCCAAGGCCAGCCTTTGCTCCCTTTGCTTTCCTTATGGGAGCTGAGCTGCTGCTGGAGTGGGTGGGAGAGTGTAGGTTGGTGCCCAGCCATGAGGCTGTGGAGGGGAGTGGGGGAGGATTTAGCTCCTCTCCCTGTCAAAATCATCTCCAGGGAAATCTCCTGGTGATGATTTTCCTCTCAGAGGATCCTGCTGGGGGTCTCTAAGCCTTGGGGCTGCTCATCCCCATTTGGGGAGTTGAAGCTGCTGCCCCAAGGGCTCCTCTGTGAGTTGGAGGGCCTGGAGGTATCTTGTGAGAAAGCAGCAATTCGCTGCTGCTGGGAGATGTGCTGGGCCAGAAGATCCACTCTCAGCAGAGTTATCTTTACACCTCGATTCAGCGCCTCTAAAATTAGCCAGAGCCATCGCGGTGTCACACACACCAAGCTGCTCCTGTAATCCTGGTTCCTCCCAGCAACTTCTGCTCTGACACACATTTGTCTTCCAGAATTTCACTTCAACCCCTAAATCCCTGCAGAAGGCAAGATCATCTGATGGTGGAGAGCTTCCCAAATCCATTTCCCTGGCCTGGCTCTGCAGTGGGAAAGCCTTCCCTTGGTGCCTGTCCATCCCTAACAGTGTTGGCCACCTCTTTGTGAAGAACTTGAGATCTTCAACAGGACCATGAATGGTAAGCACCACCCTCTTCTTCCAGGACCTTCTGGGACATGGACAACTGTCCTGGACCCTATGGATCCGGGTGGTCCCTACACACTGACAGCTAGGCAGGCCTCAGGGAATGTGACACTGCGGGACATCTACTTTGGGGACGTGTGGCTTTGCAGCGGGCAGAGCAACATGGCAATGACTGTCCTGCAGGTGAGTGCCCACAGGGCATCCTGGACCTGCTGGGATTGGGCCAGGATCCAGCTGGGATCAGTCTGGGAAGTGACTGGCATGCTCCCAACCCTTCCCTAGATTGTCAATTACAGCCAGGAACTCGCTGCTGCTGCTCACTACCCCCATGTCCGCCTCTTCACCGCAGCACCTGCCCGCTCCGACCAGGAGCTGGAGGACCTGGAGCGAATTGACCTGCCCTGGTCCATCCCGACAGCTGGTGAGAGCAACTCGCCTCCAAAAAAAAATAAACCACCCCCAAAAAAGCCTGGAAACGGCTTTCTTTCCCCTTTTCCCCCTTCTTTTTTTTTTTTTTTTCTTCCCATTTGCAGCTGTTTCTTGAACAGAAAATCTGGGCCGTGGGAATTTCTCCTACTTCTCGGCCGTCTGCTGGCTGTTGGGGCGGTACCTGCACGAGGCCCTGGGCTACCCCGTGGGGCTGGTGGAGGCGGCCTGGGGAGGCACCCCCATCGAGGCCTGGTCCTCCCCCAGGGCTCTGCGGGCCTGTGGGCTGCTGGAGGAGGCAGGGAGGTAAGGGGGAGACGCACCAGGAACACTTTCCATCCCATGGCACAGAGATTTTGGGGAGGCAACCTCACCCCCTCCACCCCTTCCCATCCCACCACCTCCTCCAAAGAAAGCATCTCAGAGTAAAATCAGTTCTGCCATGGGGGGGAGAAGGGGGACCCCAAAGCCACAGTTTCAGGTCTGGCCTTTTGTTTTGCACCCCCCCTCAGCCCAGCTCTTCTTCCAGCCTCTCCCCCTGGCTGCATCTCTCCGGCCCGCAAGCGCCTTCCGTGCTCTGGAACGCCATGATCCACCCCCTGCTTAACCTGACGCTACGGGGAGTCTTGTGGTACCAGGGTGAGCCCCCCCTGCCCCACGTTTACCCCCTCCTGACCTCTCCATTATCCCACTGGGATCTCACCATCCCCTCACCTTTGGAGCCAGGAGAGGAAAACACACACCTGCACACAGACCAGTACAACTGCACTTTCCCAGCACTCATTGCTGACTGGCGCCACGCGTTCCATGCCGGATCAGCTGGACAGAACCAGCTGCTTCTCCCTTTCGGCTTCGTGCAGGTGAGGATGGTGCAGGGGAAGAAGGAACAAGGGGCAGAACCCCCACCCTCTTCCTCCTCCTTATGCCCAGGGAGGATTATTACCCATCCTTGCTGTACATGTAAATCCTGCCAGGAAGCCAAATCCCACTTCCCCAGTTCTGATGCCCCACCTTGCCTTGCAGTTGTCCACCTACCGGCGGCAGAGCCCTGACGACAGCTTCGCCCGACTCCGGTGGCACCAAACTGCCGACCTGGGAGTCGTTCCCAATGCCAGGATGCCCAGCACCTTCATGGCTGTGGCCATGGATCTGGGTGATGAGCACTCGCCCTACGGCAGGTGAGTCTTGGGGGACAAGGAGGGGATACCTGTGAGAAAGCAACCACACCCCCCACAATCCTCCCTGATGATCCCAAATGTCTTCAAGCCAAAAAATTCTGTGATCCCTTTCCCACAGCATCCACCCCAGAGACAAGCAGACAGTGGCCCACCGGCTCCACCTGGGTGCCAGGGCTGTGGCCTACAGGGAGAAGAACCTAGTTTTCCAGGGTCCGTATCCCACCCGTGCTATCCTGGATGTAACCAGGGCTCTGCTGAACGTCACCTACAGCCAGGAGCTGGTCTGGCGCAACAGGGACATGCTGGCCTTCGAGGTGAGGAGGGGGGGAAACGCTTCCCTCCGCCAGGGCTGGGAGGGAAGCCCACCCTGACAGAGGGTTTCCTCCCCTCTCCCTAGGTCTGCTGCTCCAGCGGGTGGCTGCCAGCACCCGTGGTGACAGTGGAGTTCCACCAGGTGACGCTGGCCCTGGCCGGCTGTGGAACGCTGGTGCTGGGCTTGCGCTACGCCTGGGCCGAGTGGCCCTGTGACTACCAGTCCTGTGCCTTGTACAACGTCTGGGGGCTGCCCGCGCCCCCCTTCCTCCTGGACACCTCCCCATCTGCCGGAGGGACAGAACTGCTGCTCTGCCCCAGCTCCAGGCTCTAAATCCCAGGGAACTGGTGTGAGAGGACAGCAGAGGGTGCTGAGACCTTGGACAAAGCTGGCACTGTGCCAGCCTGATGCAGCTTGATTATTGTCTTACTAATTAAACACTTCCTAGCTCCTCTTTGGCCTGCAGGGGGTGGCAATTTAAAATGAAATTGATAAATGTTTTTAGGACAAGCAGCAGGATACAGGGGTGTGAGTAGAACCCTACACTGCTACTCCTCACAACCCCTCACCCAGGGGGCAGGGTGCTTGCAGGATCCAAGGACCAGCCTCCTTCTCCTGGGCTGGGACATGGAGATGCCATGTTAAGAAATTAAATGGCTCATTTTATTCTTTATTCCTTTGATTTTGTTTCAGAGGAACATCCCTTAGTCCTCTGTTCATGCCCCTCCAGCAGGGAAATCTGTGTGGAAGAGGCACAATGTGGCATCCAGCTCTGGGAATAAGCTGAGACCCTCTGCCCCAAAAAAATGCGTTTTTTCCACTGGAAAAGGGAGGGACGGATCAACCTCCCCCAGATCCTATGTAAGAAGGGGAACCCCAGAAGCTGCTGTCACATTACAGACGTCACGCCACCAGGCTGTCCCAAAACTGGAGTTTAATGAGATTGACCAACTGCTAGAAAGGAGAAAGTGGTTTGGTGTGGATCCCAGGATCCCACCGGATCCCACTGTGCCCACTCCTGAGGTCAGGCAGAACCAAGAGAGTCCCGGGAGGCTTTTCCTATCACTTCCACTCCAGGCTTCATGTCTAGGTAAGGTGGGAGAAGAGGAGGAATCAATTAATTGAGGCAATCACAAACTGAGATCTTGGGCTTACTCCACCAGTGGGTGACTAGCCGAAGAGGCTAGCTGTGCTAGCCCTGTGGTTGCCATGCCAACAAGGGTATTAAATCCAGCTCAATGTTAAGTGTTTTTTGTTAAACTGCAGCCCTCAGAAGGTGGCTTCAGGGACAGGAAAGGGGTCCAGGCCTCCTGGCAGCCACCCTGCCAGGTGGGGGATCCCTGCGAGACCCCAAAGGAGGGTCCCCAAAACCAGTGTGTGGGGGAGAGGGTGCAGCAGGGCAGAGGGAGGGGATGGGGGGAAAGAGAAGGGCAAAGAAGGCTTCTCCAGTGAAAAAAAACCCACCTGGAGCCCCACCACCATTGGCCTCGGGGTGATGTTTGGGCTTGGTGGTCTCCAGCCCGGCCAGCAGCGTCATGAAATCGATGACAGTGTCAATGTCCTCCTTGTTGGCTGTGGCTTCTTTCAAAGCACTAATGGCGTTGAGGCGGCCAAAGGAGGTGAGCTGGGAGATGTTGGCCCGGAGAAAGAGGAGGAGGACATTGAGGTCATTGATGGGACAGGTGAGCATCTTGCGGCTGAGGAGGTCGAAGGCAGGCAGCATCTCATAGACAGAGAGCAGCCCCTTGTCCCACTGGCAGAGCTGCAGGGCATTGTAGATGACAACAGGAAGGAGCAGGACATAGACACCACCGACTGAGATGCTTAGGAGCTGGAAGATGGAGAAGAAGACCAGCTTGCAGGGAATGAGTAGGGGGATGTGGGTCTCTGCCTGGAGCAGCCCCGTTTTGATGGAGCAGCTGAACTCATCCTGAAAGAAGATGTTGAGGTGGAGGAAGACCAAGTAGAGGCAGGTGGCAGCCAGGAGCACAAGCAGGAGCAGGTTCCTCAGGATGAAGATGAAGGCCAGAGAGTGGGCATGCTGCTTGCAGGTGAGGTAGCGCTCCAGCAACGGGTACTCAAAATACCTCTCCTGGCGTGCCCTGGGGACAGAGGGGACCCAGCTGGGACTCAGAGCCACCCATAAACTGAGCCCCGTCACCCTGAACATGGCCATGGCCACACAGCCATGTGGAGGGATGTTGGACGTGGGGAGCAGTGGAGATGTTCTGGTGGTCTCACCTCTCATATTCTTCCCAGAACTGCTCTGGCTCAGAGCTGTCCTGCTGGACCTTCCTCATGTGCTGCACCAGGCGCACGGAGCGGTTGTAGGATTTGTCCAGCTCATTGATGACAAAGAGGAGGTCGGAGTGGAGGGCAGGGACGGCAGCGTAACGCCACAGCAGGTACGGCAGGTACATCAGCACTGCCACCACCAGCAGCGAGTAGGGGAAGACCTGGGTGGAGGAGATGAGTGGGTGCTGAGTGATGCAGAGCTCCCAGGCCTTACCCTGAGGGGACCCGAGGATGTACCTTGAGAGCCCAAAGGGACTTGGTGATGGCATGTCCTTCAGCGTCAAGGCCATGGTGGAGGAGGGAGTCCCAGCAAGCTGTGTCAACATAGGCTGACTGCTTCCCAGTGAAGTTGGTGGGAGAGAAGCAGCTGATCTGTGAGCCTGGGGGAAGGAGAAGGGTGAACCCCAGCCCCAGCGAGTCCTCTGTAACCAGGTGCCGACTCGTTACAGGAGAGTGATTGCATCTAAGGTGACACTTGGAACTAAGAAAGCATTTTTCTGAGGCATTTTGCAGCTCTCCCTCCCCACGGTGTTTTCCAGTGAGGCATCTTCCATCTCCTCCCAAACACAAACTCTTTGAGTGCAGCTGTGGGGAGAATTACAGACCGGCCAGAAACCAGAGTCAAACCAAATCCCCAGGGGCAGCAGTGGGAAGTCAGCCAAGGCCGGATTTAGCCTGAGGCCAGGATGCACCATCAGTGCCACCCTCTGTGCCCGGCAAATGCTGGTGGGATGGTCCCCTGCCAGCACCCTCATCCTCAGAGACAACCAAGGTGCTGGGGGCAAACAGCAAGGCAGGACATCAGAACAGCCAGCCATTCTTGGGCTTTGCAGTGACTAATCATCCATTTAAAACAATCAGTAATGATCCCTGAGCCAAAACAGTTCCTAAAACAGGATTTCCAATGTGTCCCACCTCAGACCACGATGACATTGGTGCAAACACAAGAGTTTTGCAGAACCAACAGATCCACTGCCCACCCTGAAGATCCCCATTGGAAAAGCCACAACTCACCAGCAGAGAACTCCCGGGCAAACGCCAGTGAGACAAGGAGCAGGGGCAGCCCCACGGTGATGAACTTGAGCAGGCGATCACTTGGCAGCTCCAGCCGCAGGCCCTGGGCTCGGGAGCCACCGGGATCCGGGAGCAGCGCGTCCGAGAGCATGAACTCGGCAGCTGTGTGTGACAAGGACATTTTTCCAAGCGAGTAAGAGGAGACGGTGGCAGCAGCTGCTACTCTGGTGCTGTCTGAAGTATGACTGGCTGGAGGAGAAGCTTTGTAGGGCTGAAGGCAAGCACTGCATACAAGGCAGCTGTAAATGACAGCTTAGAAGGCTCATTAAATCAACCACTAATTACAGAAGGAGCCTTTTTGCAAATAGCACACCCTGAAATAGCAAAAAAAGCCCCAAAGAGGGGCTGTGGCACAGGGCTGGGAGGTAGCATTCCTCCCGGCTGCGGCCACTCCCCAGGGTTTTACAGCCCTCTCTCATCAGCAGAGAGGTGGTGGTGTCTTCCAGGGGTGTGGGGCTCCCATAGCTATTTTTGCCCCCAACGAGGAGGCAGGGGATGGGGCATTACCTCACCAAGAAGCCCCACAGCAGCCCCACGGGGTACAAAGAGCCATTTCCGTCACCCAAAGAAATCCTGCTGCCCAGCCCTGAGCCTCTGGGGACAGGCCAGGAGCCACCAAGCACTGGTGGATACTGTTTTGAGGCAGAACATTAGTTGCAGTTCCCAGATTTCCAATGTGTCCAACATGGGAAAAGGAATCTGACTCCAAGGCAAACTCCCAAGGGAGAGGGATCCCAATAATGGGACAAGACAAGCTCCTGAGGGAGAGAAATTCCAGCAATGGGATCTACAAATAAGTGATGGGGAAACTGGAAGGGTGGAAACTGGTGGTAGGATAGAAACATTTCTCCCAGCAGCAGAGGCAGTGCCCAAAATCCCATGCCAACACCTCTGGCAGTGCAGAGCTGAGGGAGTCCTGGAGCTGCTGGGCCAAGCCCAGCAAAGGAACTCCCCACACAGTCTCTCAGCACAAAAACAAACCCCACAGCTGCTGCCAAATGGCACTTTGGAAGGATTTTCCAATGAAGGGAATCTCCAAATCAGAGTGCGGAGTGCCAGGATATGATGGAAAGAGTGCTGAAGAGCTCTGAAGGGCGCAGGGATGGCATCCAGGCACACTCCAGCCCGCCCTGGGACCATGATCTGCCTGGCCTGAACACAAAGACAAGTAGCTTCCAGTGGGAACAGGCTCTTTTATTGCTGGGAGACACGATTCCACCCAGTCTCATCTGTCCAAACAAGAGGCTCTTCAGCTCCTTTTCTGCACCAAATCGGGGCGAGAAGCACAGACAGGTACCTAGTTTGAAGACAGTACCAACATGGGAAGCAGCACAGACCGCTTCATCACACCGCCGGAGATGCAGAGATAGTCAGTCCTGCTCCCCTGCTGCCTCATTAGTGACCTCCAGCTCCAGCTTCTTCAGAGTCTTTTGGAAGAAGAGGGGGGGCTTGCAGACAAGGTCTATCTGCTGGCCCAGGGGTAGGGAGAGCCGGTGGGCATGGAGGTGGAGGGGGAGGTGGCGAGCCTTGCTCTGCTCCAGCTTCAGCCTTTTCAGAGTGATTTCAGGAAGCTTCTGCAGCCAGGACAAAAAATGTTTCCATTTCATCAAACTGTGCTTTGAAAACCTCAGCCTGGAGGGAGAGGGTTGGGAACACAAAAGGGATTCCCAGCCCTGGATATGGCTGCTCCCCACTGCAGAACCTGCCTTACCTGGGGTGCCAGTTTGCTCCAGTGTGAGTACTTGTGATCCCCCAGGATGGGGCACCCCAAACCATAAGCCAAGTGAACCCGGATCTGGTGCTTCACCCCTGGGGAGGGAAGAGAACAAGGCAAAAAGTGATAACCAGCCATGCTGGGGCTCCCACCCACCACAGGATAACCCCATGCCAAAACCACAGGCAGCTACAGCAAACTATCAGCCCAGAGCAGCTTATTCCCAGAGCCTCCCAAAAAAGTCAGTTGTGTCTAACAAGTTCCCACTTCCAGCACAGCTCTTGGCTGCTGAGAAGGTGGATCCCTCAGACAAGAATCACAGAATGTCAGGGGTTGGAAGGGACCTCTGAGGATCATCAAGTCCAACCCCCTTGCCAGAGCAGGACCAGAAACTAGGGCAGATCACTCAGAAAGGCATCCAGACAGTCTCCAGAGAAGGAGACTCCACAACCTCTCTGGGCAGCCTGTCCCAGGGCTCTGTAACCTCACAGGAAAGTTCTTCCTCATGTTGAGGTGGAACTTCCTGTGCTTGAGTTTGAATCCATTGCCCCTCCTCCTATCACAGGGCACAAGTGAAAAGAGGTTGTCCCTGCCTTCTTGAGGCCCTCATGTATTTATAGACATTAGGGTCTCTCTGCCTTTCCTTGTAAGGCAGGTGTTCCAGTCCCTTAATCATCCTTGTAGCCCTTCACTGGACTCTCAAGTAGATCCCTGTCTCCGAGTGCTGTGGCCACCCGGCCAGGCCTCACCAGTGACAGGCTGGAGCTCCAGCAGGGAGCAGGCGCTGGCGCTGGCCAGCAGGCGGTACCGCGTCACGGCGCTTTCGGCATCGCAGCTCCTGCGCGTTTTCACCACCTTCCCATCCTCTGGAGACAGGCGGTAGTTGGGGGCCAGCGTCATCTGAGGAGTGGGTGAGAGGGTGAAAACCTTTTCCTGCCCTGAGGGCAGGAAAGGGAGTGCTCGGTGGGAAGGACAGCCCAGGGGACATCCTGCTCACCTTGTAGTGTGGCTGGTGGCTCTTCACCTCCTTTTCCACCATGGGGATCTCCACAATGCCCTTGGAGGGGTCTGGGTTGCCCAGGGTAATCGCCCTGGGGAGGGAAACCAGTGGGGTGCTGCTCCAGCAGGAAGGGAATCCCCCTCATCATCCCTGCTCCCAGCCCCATAGAAAGACACCAGAGCAAAGATAAACACCCCCCCCCTTCCACCAAGCCTCACTTGACTGTCCCTTCACCCCTTCAAATCTGATTTTCCCCCCAGATCTTTCCTACCAGTAGATCTTCTCCACCTGGCGGGTTTTGAAGAGAAGCCGGATCTTCTCCGCCGCCTCCTTGCTTCGTGCCAGCACCATGACACCCGTGGTCTCTTTGTCCAGCCGGTGGCAGAGGTGGAGGGGTTCAGCTTTCATGTTCTCCAACATCTTAGCCAAAATGGGCAGCACATCAGCGATGCAATTCTTGATCCCGGGGCCACCTGTGGAACCCACAGACAAGAGAGTTATTCGCCTTTCCCAGGAACCTTATATTACCCCCCAAACGCTGTGTTCTGAAGATGACAAACTCGCTGTATCCCTCCCTGGGATGGAAAACCTCCACACAAGGACAGAGACAGAGGATCAGTTCCAGGCAGCCAATTTTTCACAGAATCATCAAGGTTGGAAAAGACATTCAAGATGATCCAAGTCCAACTGTCTTGTCCTACAACCCCCAACCACTAAACCATCTCCTGAAACACCACGTCTACCCTTTTTTTGAACACCTACAGGGGTGGTGCCTCTACCACCTCCCTGGGCAGCCTGGTCCTAGGCCTCACCACTCTCTGTGAAGAAACTTTTCCTAATATCCAGCCTGAACCTCCCATGGTGCAGCTTGACCCCATTTCCTCTTGTCCCATCACTGGTCACTAGGGAGAAGAGCCCAACACCTACCTCACCAGAGCCTCCTCTCAGGTAGTTGTAGAGAGCAATGAAGTCTCCCCTCAGCCTCCTCTTCTCCAGGCTGAACAGCCCCAGCCCCCTCAGCCTCTCCTCATAACACCTTTTCTCCAGACCTTTTCTCATCTCATTAGTTGCCCTTCTCTGCACCCTCGTCAGCACCTGTGTCTTTCTTATACTGCAGTGCCCAAACCTGCACCCAGTGCTCAAGATGCAGCTTCTCCAAGGCTGAGCAGAGGGGCAGGATCACCTCCTGGTCCTGCTGGTCACACTATTCCTGATACAGGCCAGTTGTACCACCGGGGCACACTGCTGGCTCATGTTCAGCCCCTTGTCAATCAGCACCCTCGGGTCCCTCTCTGCTGGGCAGCTCTCCAGCCACTCCTTTGCAAGCCTGTAGTGCTGCCAGGGGTTGTTGTGGCCAAAGTGCAGGACACAACATTTGGCCTTGTTGAAACTTCTGCCATTGGCCTTGGCCCAGTGGTCAAGCCTGTCTTCCCCCAGTGGCCAGCTCCTCCTCACCATGCACAGGAAGGCCGTAGGGTTTGTTGATCACCACAATCTCCTCATTCTGGTAGACAGTTGCCTGCTTGAGCACTTTGGCCAGGACATTGGGATGAACCTGCTGCAGCTGCTTGCTCAGCTTAGCAAGCTCCTGCACCCAGCGCTGCACTGGGTCTTTGGGGACCTGAGGAGAGATGAAAACACCATCAGTGAGGGATAAGGTGGAGGAAAAACAGCTCTTGGCTTTCACACAAAGCTCCTGTGTGACCTTCAGTATCTCCTCTGCCTTCTGGTGTTCCTGAGGACTGTTGTGTGCAGAGCCACTACAGTGACAAAGCCTGGACACTGTCCTTGCAATCCCACCGCAGTGACTCGTGGGATTAGCCACACGCAGGGGTTGGCCACCACAAATCCCACTCCAGACTTGACCTCGCTCCCACGGCGAGGCAAGGAGGGTAAACCTGCGGGCACGATGGTAACGCCCATTCGTTGTCTCGCTGCATCCCACCCATCCTGCCCTGGGAGTGCCCGGATAGGGCAGGGCGAGGGACCCGGGACTGAGAGCTGGGACCAAGGGATGAGGGCCTGGGGCCGAGGGGGTACAACTGGGGCCGAGGGAGCACACCTGGAACTACGGAGACAAAACCGGTGCTGAGGACCGAGTCCCGCGGCGCGGAGCGCGCCGGGAGTTGTAGTCCCGCCCCTCCGGG